AAAGATATTCTTGTGGAAAAGGCACCCAAAGTTTGCTCTCCTGTACATATTCTGCTTGTCTTCCCAAGCCTGTGATTCCCTGCATATAAAATGAGCTCAGTTGACATTCTTTCCTGCTTGTTAAATATAAACTTATTGACTTTCTAGCAAGTTAGGACTTTCTTAGACTGTAAATAATGGTGGTGAGAAATGTGGTTCTTCTTCTATCACTTAATGGCTTTCAAAGCTAGACCAGAGCAGTGGCTTTAGAGTCAGAAATATACGAGTTTAAATTCAGTGTCAAACATTTACAAGATGTACGACCTCTGCCTGCCTCAGCTTCATCCTCTGTAAAATGGGAATACTATAAAACTTACCTCCCAGAGTTGTTGTGAGGATAAAATGAGATATTTGTACAATGTTTGGAAAATGTTAACATATTAAATTTTTTATCAATAATAATAACAACAACAATAATAATCTATGAATGGGAACAAGTGGTATTATCCCAGTTTTACAGATTAGGAAACTAAGGTTCAGAGTGGTTCAATTCCCCATCGTTTCAGGGTTGACTCTTTCATTCCTTATTTTTCACCAGCTGACCTAGCACCTCTAACTCCACAATCCCTCACATTTCCACTGTAACATGCAGCTTTTTATCACTGAGTGGTTTCTTTACTATTGCCTGTAAACATGCACTGGACTGTAATATGTGGCTTTTCATCAGCAATTGGTTTCTTTACTGTTGCTTGTAAACATGTTCTGGCCCTCCCCCTCGCCCTCTTTCTGCTCTCCCTTGACTCTTCTGGCCCCATAGGTCATCCTCTCCCATCCCTCCTCCTTGCCACAGCCACATTCCTAGAGAAAACCATCTCCCTGTTGCCTTGACTTCCTAACATCCAGCTGACTTTGTTATCCTTTGCAATCTCTCTTCAGACCCCACCACTCAACCTGAACTCCTTTTTCCAAGGTGACCAAAAATGTTTAATGCTTCGTTTCTTTCCTGACTGTGCTTCAGATTTTGAGGAGTTCACCGTCATGTCTTAGCTGCCTCTCACCCTCATTGTCTGGGACCTTTCACCAGGTGGTATCCTTCCTCAAGACCAGCCCCTTCTCCCATTGGTGAGCCTCCATTTGGAGGACACCCCAAGCCAGCCATGCTTCATTCCCCTCCCAGAAGTGCTTACAACTCTGGACTTTGTCAACTTGCCTTCATATCCCACCTACACTCACACAGACACAGACACAGACACACACACAGACACAGACACAGACACACACACACACACACACACACACACACACACACACCCTTGGTTTTCATGACTACTCATGTTTATCCTTTCTCAATGTCCTTTGCTCAGTTATCACCCTTGGGTTTTCCCATTATTTCTCTCCTTAACCCTGAGCATTCTCACAGTTTCTTTCCATTCCCTCTTCTCTCCCTGTACTTTCTCTCGGGATCACATCAGCTCCCATGGTTTCAGTCATCCCCACGCAGATGACTCTCATCTTGACATATCTGAAACCTCACCTGATTCCTTAGTTCTATCTAGTCCCATATCACCAACTGCATGGGAGATGTCTCTAGCTGATTTCCCTGTAACACATGGCATTCATTCAGTGTGTCCAAAATACAGTAGAGCTAATCTACTCCCTTCTTTGGGCCACTGTTTTTTCTTTTCTCTTTGTGTTACCAGCACACAGGGCCGTTAATGTAGTAAATGCTCAATAAATGCTTTTGGGAATGAACAAAGAATAACACGAGTATTTGGATGGTGCCAAATTTAGTAAATATTTCCATCTCAAATCCCAAGGCCAGTTGGCCCAAACCTTGTCTTTCTGTGTGGTAATTCCTAGAGAATGTTGATTGACAGAGACTTTAGACATTCTATGCTGGTGGCTGTCCACAGGATTGCCTAATGAGAGAGAAGGCAGTGGGGGTGGGTAGGGGAGGCTCCTTCATTTTTACAAGGGGTGGGGGACTTTTAATTTTACTCAGAGAAGCGAGAAAGAGGCATGGTAAAGCCCCAGATCATTTAAATCATTGATACTTAGTTTGGAAACAATGTTTTCTGTGTTTTTGATTTAATATGGATGTGTTTCATAGGTATCTAAGCAGCGTATGAACAAAATCCCTGACTCAGAATCAGGAAGATCTCAGTTCAAATTCTACCTCAGCTACTTACTAGCTCTGTGGGCCTGGGCAGGTCTTCACCTCTTTGTGGCTAAGTTTTTTTACCTTTAAAATAGAGATAATAACAACACCTACCTTCCAGCTTTGTTGGGAAGATTAAATGATATAACACAGGCAAAGACTTGTAAATGCTAAGTAGAATTATTATGAATTTTTGTTATTATTTTATTCTGGAAAGTTAATTAAAAAAAAAAAGCCCAGCAGCCCCAGTATGAAGACTCAGTCTGGGGAGAAACAGGGAAGCTGTGGAGTTTCTTCCTTTTCCATTGTCACCAGGAATGCAGAGCACTCTAAAACGAGTGCTCTTTTCCCAGAAAGCCAAGGACAATGGACTTTTCTAAACCATTCCCAGAAGAAAAACTGGTTAAATATTTGAGAGTCAGAGGACAACCTTCTTACCTGCAGAGTAACAATAAATGCCCCATCAGAGGGCAGCCAAAAAAAAAAAATGAAGAAGAAACATCAGGTCATAGATTTGTAGGTAAAAAGCCACTGAGTTCAAGCCCCACATTTTTTTAGCTGAGGAAACTGAGACCTAGGTGAAAAGTGACTGTCCCAGGATCACATGGCTAATGAGGCAGGATTCAAGCATAATGCCTGCTTGCTGCAATTCTGCTTAAAAATAAACAAACCAAAAACCCTTAGTCCGAAGTTTCAACTCTAAATATATAAGAGCATGATTGTTCATGCTACAAAAGGATTCTTTATTTTGTTAAAACAAATATAACTGAAGGGTGTGTGTGTGTGTGTGTGTGTACTCATGCATATGTTTTTCCAGATAGAGATTGGGTTTACTCAGCTTTTCTATAATTCAGCCTTGCAGGACAGCTGGATTTGCTGGGGATCAGTCAGTGAGGATAAGCTACTTTGAGGAGAGTTGGGACTTTATTGTGTATCCCGTTTTGTTTTGTTTCCCCCACATCCGCCCTTTTATTACACATTTATCATTTATAAGGCTTTTGTGTTTTTGTTGTAGTTACAAACATTGTGGGTGAATGCCTGAGTAGCTTGGCAGAGAGCCAACCAAAATGTTTAGTGGGATTAAAAAAAGATAGACTTTTCCAGTGTTAGGGTGGGGAAAAGCCCTTCTGGTTGCCCTGTCTAGACCTCTCATTTTTGGGATCATCACTGGAAAGTTCCTTCCACTGGTGTGTGGGTGGCTTCTCCAGTAGTTGGTAGCCTTTGCAACTTGCTCAGGGCCTGCACATGTTAAGTGACTTGGCCAGGGTGACTCAGCCAGTTAATGGCAGAGGCAACAATAGGTCTTACTGACTCCTGAGCCTGCCTTATCTTCATTATGCCATACTTTATCTCTTCCATTTTACAGATGTGGAAACTGAAGTGCCAAAGGAAAATTGACGTACTGAAAATTGACTCACTCATATGGGAAGGGAATAACTATCCATTCATTGGGTAATGGAAGCAGAATCTTGGGAAAGTGTTTTTGTTTGTGTTTTTTCATTTTAAAAATAAAAAAAAAATTGGGAGGGGGCTGTACTCATGTGCTAACATTGAATATATAACATAAATGATGATTGTAGCTAGATTCCCTTCACTCTAGTATTGAGAAGCTTACAATATGCATTTGTAGACATTTTAAAATAATTTATTTATTGAATGACACTGAAAATTGGTGATTTAACTTTCCCTAACCAAATGATAGGGAATGTGGGTAGTCTGTAATAAATAACATCTAGTATTTATGCCCATTTTTAAGGGCTATAAATATTGTTATTCCTTTTGTTAACATTTTCCAATATTCCTTTTGTTTCTCAAACAACCTCTGAGGTAGGTACTTGAGGTCTTCTTGCCCCGTTGCAGGTGAAGAATGTGGTTATCAAGGGTCTTATCCATGAGCCCGTCTAAGTACCAGAGGGCAACACGTTGACTTGGGATCTTCCTTACCCTCATTGTGCAGAAGAGTTAAGTTCCTGCTTGGCTTTTGTAACAGCGTGTGACCTTGGAAAAATCATTTAACCTTAGTTCCGACAGCTGTACTATGAGATTGGATCAGAGAATCTAAAGTTTGTTGGAGTTCTGTCCTGTCTTAGGAAAGCATTCCCAAAATGGTTTGCTATGAATTTGTGCAAGAGCTATCAAACAGTTAACGGGAGATGAGCAAACTCTGTCATGATTCTACCATATGCAAATGAAGGAACATGTTCATTTATTATTTAGAAAGAAAACTTTAAAGGAAATATTGTAAATCAGCCTGGAGTTGGATAAGCAATCTCAGAGTTTCATTGTAGATCATTTCACTAAAACCTTTATCGGAGTTGGAGAACCTGTTGTCTAGGTGAACTCACTAAACCCACTAAACAACTTCCCATTGTGAGCAATGGGAAGATATATACGCCTCAGTTTCCTCATCTAGAAAATGAAAGGTTGGATTTCATGATCTATTTAAAAAAAAAAGCCGTTTCAGCTCTGAGAGTCTATGATTCGGTTCAGAGGACAGCTGCAACATCAAGCCTAAGGGATGGTGGGGGACTTGCTTACCTTCTCTCTTTATGCCTCCTTTATTATAAGTTTTACATGAGGCAGTTAATGCCCAGCTGTGAAATTCCATCAAGGGCTCCTTGTAAACATTCTCTTGGAAAGGCAGACTGTAAGAGACCAGGATCAACTCTGATCACCTGATCCCTTGTGACCACTCCTCCATTGATTATTTAAAAGGAAAACAGTCCTCCTGACAATGTTCACCAAAACAGTATTAAAGGAAATAGCTATGAAGCTCCATCTTGGGTCATCGCATGAAATCCTTGCTGCCAGAAGGGATGCCTTTGATCCTCTAAAATACTCTAGAATGGCATTTTAGAAAGACATGATAGTGGTCTGCCCCCATCCAGTGATTTACTGCAGGCTCCTTCCTTCTCAGAAGGCTGCCTGGCTTGGGCGAGTAGAAAGAGAGCTGGAGTCCGAGCAAAAAGATCTGGACCCAGATTCTGTCCCTGAGATTTACCAGCTGTGTGACATTGGGTAACTCCCATTCCTCCCTTTTGTTTTAGTTTCTTCATCTGAAAGCCAGGAAGAATAATATGTGTGCCTCTGGGGTCCTCTCATGGGTGAGGAGGGCAGCGAACTCTGTAAATGTGAATGATCTTAAAGCAGGTGTCAATGGAAGCTCTCTCTGCCCTGGGAGGCGGTCCATGTGCTGGTTGCAGATTGCAGCCCTCCTTAGTGGAGACATTGGTCAGTCTCCTGATGCTGAGTGTCTGTGAATTTAGCCAGGTCTCTCTCTGGCCCACAGTGCATTTGTGGGCCCTTCCCTGAGGGTTTTCAAGCTGTAGGATAGTTGTCAGAGCTGGTGGCCTTCAAGCACCAGGGATCACCCACTTGCTGAGATGAGACAACAGGGGAGGACTTTAGGAGAGGGTTACTGACACCACCACCTTATTAGTATTGTTTGTTCCATGTAGAGACAGTCCAGCTCCTGCCCTGGGCTTCTGATGGGGAGAATCTGCCCTAGCTAGCCGGCACCAGATGCACCATGCTTCTCTCGTCCTAGCTTTGTGCTGGAGGCCTCTGTAGTACCCTTCCCTTTCCTCCTTGTCCACATTTATCTTTTTAAGAAGTAATATCAGCTCAACGCCAGCATTTTTTGAAAGAACATGTACATCCATTGCCTTATGACTCCACTTACCATCACTTTGACTTCCCAAGCTAAGTCAGGGCCCTTGGAACAATGTCATGAGTGCTGAATTTGAGAGTCACAAGAAGTGAGTTTGAATTAGAGCTCTGCCATTTACCCCTTCTGTGATCTTGGGCATCATTAAACCTCCCCGGGCTTGAGTTTATTCACTCATTCATTCATTCATTCATTCATTCATTCATTCATTTAAAAAAGTTTAATTACATTTTATGTTCCAAACTATCTCCCTTTCTCCTTCCCTCATTAGAGAAGGCCACCATTTGACACAGATAGAGAGATAGATAGATAGATACATACATACATACATACATAGGCAGACAGATACAGATATATATGTAAAACCATATTATTTGTACTTCTATTTATTAGTTCTTTCTTTGGAGGTCTATAACATCTTCCTTCGTAAGTCTTGTGTAGTTGATTTGAGTATTTATAATACTCAGAATAACTTAGTCATTCACAGTTGTTCTTAGAATGCTATTGCTGTTACTGTATGCATTTTCTTAGTTCTGCTCATTTCATTATTTCATGCAAATATATCCATGTTTTCCTAAGATCATCGAGCTCATCATTTCTCATAGCATAATAGTATTCCATCACAATCATATAGCACAACTTATTCAGCCATTTCCCCAATTGATAGGCATCCCTCCAGTTTCCAGCTCTTTGACACCACAAAGAGCCGCTATACATATTTTAGAACATAAAAGTTCTTTTCCTTTTTCGCTGGTCACCTTGGGAAACAGACCTAATAGTGGTATTGCTGGGTCAAAGGGTATACATAGTTTTAGGCCTCTTTGGGCATAGTGGGCCTGAGTTTAAAATGAGTGGCTGGATTCGATGACCCCTGAGGACCCTTCTCACTGTTGCTGTGTGATTTGATGACCTCCTCCTCCTCCCTGGCTACGACTCTCTTACATGCATTGTCTTTGCCAATGAGAATGTGAGCCTCTTAGCTCACGGAGCCTGGTACATAGCAAGCACTTAATAAATTGTAGTTGGCTGATGGAATTGCTTTTGGTATTTGTATCCCCAGCACATAGCATAGTGCTTATCTTATCATCAGTGCTTAATGAATGTTTATTCCTTCATCCATTCCTTCTCATCTTTATCAGTGAAACTCAGATAGAAATGGGTCTAGGACGAGATGCTATTCTGTTATTCTTTTCTGTTTAATGATCTGTGTCTCTTGCGTAGGTGGGTTCACTGACTGCTTTGTGTAGCTGAATAAAAGTATGGGGATGTATGCTCATCTTCTGTAGTGTCCCTGAAAGCGTCTCTGGAATGATTCCAGGGCAGGCTAGATGACAGAAATGAAATGCATCTCTCCTTCTTTCCACGTGACTTTGGTTAACTCTTCTAGGCCCTTATATTTGGAGAGCCATATACATTCTACATCCTTCTACTCTGAGATTGAGTATTTAGGCTGGTGATGGCCAACATTAGAAAATGTTGTTCCAAAGTGTTATTATTCTGATGATCAATTTGGTAAACACTAAGTCTTACTGTCCTTGGTGATAGAGATAGAAAGACAAGCATAAAAGAGCTTCTTTCTTCAAGTTCACGTTTTACCTGGGAGGGGGTGGAGAATGTACTGTGTGTAAGTTATGGCCTGCAAATTTGGGGGAGGGGAGAGCACTCACCCATGGGGGGTATCAGGATGGCTTCATGCAGGAGTGTGTAAGCTAAGCCTTAAAGAAAACTAGGGATTGTATGTAGTGGAGATGGGTGAGTGGGGCCAAGGGCAGTGCACTGAAGGCTTGTGATTGGCCAGGGAGCTGTGAGGGTGGGGAGGCAGCCACCTTGAGCAGAACCAAATTTGCGGTGGGGCTGACTGAGGTGATATGGTCAAGACTCCAGAGAGTTTGCTTGGGACTGCCCCAGGTGGGACCTTACTGACTCAATAAATGCTGTTAGACAACCCAAGTGGGTTCTGCAATTCCCCAATAGGTAAGTGGTCTAAGGGCATGGACAGACACGAGAAATGTGAAACAAAACATTCTGAGGCTTCACCTTACCCCCAGCAGCTTAGCAAAAATGACAAATGATGGGGATAGTCCATGGTGGAGTGGCTGCGGAGAGGTGGGGACACTCTAGAGCCTTGTCTGAGCTGTGAGTCTGTACAAACAATTTGTTGTGATGCAAATCTAGTGACTAAAATATCCATGCCCTTTGAGCCTGAGACTTCATTATTGGGCTCATACCTCCAAGGAAGCCCCAGAATCACAAAAACCTGTTTGTGGCAGCACTTTTGGGGATAGCAAAGAATTGGAAACAGAGTCGGTGCTCATCTACTGGGGCATGGCGAAACAAAATGTGGCTCACCAATGTGATGGAATATTGCTGTGATGTAAGAAATGGTGAATGTAGTGAATAGGGAGAAGCATGCAAAGATCTTCAAAAACCTATGCAGAGAGAAAGAAGCAGAGTCGAGAAGACTGTAGATCCAGTAACTACAACAATGCAAACTGAAAGGATCACCATGCACACACACACACACACACACACACACACACAAAATCAGAAGTGAATGTTGCAAAATTATAAAAAAACAAGCATGGTTAGAAAGAAGGAATAGGAGAATTGCCCAACTTTCTCTTTGCAGAGGTCCAAGGTCCACAAGTGGACATTGTACACATTTTCAGACTTTTTTGGTGTATTGATTAATTATGCTGATTTCTTTCCTCTTTTTATTTTTGTTTCTAAAAGATACTATCATATTAGGTGGCTCTCTAGGAAGTCAGAAATCCTAGGAAAAAGTATGTTAATTTTTTTAAATACATCAATAAAATTTATTTTTAAAAAAGGGTTAAAAACAAATTAAAACAAAAAAAAAAAACTCAGTTCAAGTATCACTTCCTATGTGAGGCCTGTCAGAGACCGCTGCTCTCCTCTCCCTTCTCCATTACTTTGTATCTAATTTGGTTGTGTTTACATTTGGCATTGTTTCTCCAATTGGATCCATCTTCTTGAGGGCTCAGGCACAGTGCCTAGTACACAGTAGGTGCTTAATAAATACTTGTTGAACAAAGCAAAACCAGTGGATTTTTATCTGGTAGCATTGCTGGCTAATTGGTTCCATTTTTCATTGACATCTCAACATTTGGAAAATGTCATGGGATTGTACTTGAAAACCTCTCAGGAATTCATGGAATCCAGAGTTTGGGGAGTCTGAGGTGTGTCCCCTTAGTGCCATGAATGTCAAACAGTAGGTGGGACCATTGGGAATCATTAGCCCCATCCTGGGAGCTCCGTGAGCCTTTAGCACTGCTCCCCGAAGGGTAGTTCCAGACGTAAGTAAGGTATGTAATGGCCCTCGGAGGTCTTTAATAACTTCCTGTATTTATTCCTTGTTGCATGCACAGAACTCTGCTGATCACACCAGAGTAACCTTTGACTTCCTGGTCCTGCTTTTGGAGGTGGCTGGGCTCCACCACCCCTATGCAAAGCTTTCTCCTGCAGGCCTACAGGCTGCTTAAAATATGGCATTTATACCGGAAGTCTCCTTTAGCTTGAACACATGCTGCACCAAGCAAGGAGAAAGAGTAGCCTTCTAGGGAACTAAAAACAAAATAAAACAACAACAAAAACCAGAAAAAGAAAGTCAGGGGGGCTGTGACTCTCTTCTGAAAAATCATCCCATAGTCTAGTGAAAAGGAGATTTCCCTGGGAGGAAGGAGCCCGGGTTCTATCCCAGCTCTACTGATGACTGGTGGGCCAGAGGGCGCTGTGTTTGGAAGTAGAAGGCGGACATTCTGATCCTACCCCTGCCACTTATTAACCAGGGGATGTGGAGGGAGTTACACCAGATGGCCTTTACAGTTTATGCCAGATCCAAGGCTCTCGTCTGATGCTCCTAAGTTATAGGGAAAATAGTCAACTTTTTATTTTCAACCTGAAAAAAAAATGCTTTTTGTGTTTGTTTTCTGACCTTAGTAAGATACAGGAAATATAATTAAATCTTTCATGGCTCTAGGATAATAATAATAATTAATTGATTAATAATAGCTGACATTTCTATATACTCACTATGTGCCGGGCACCATGCTAAGCATTTTTATACTTATCTCATTTAATCTTCACAACCCCAGAACATAGGTGCTGTCATTATCCCCATATTATAGGTAAGGAAACTGAGGCCAACAAAATTTCCCAGATCTTTTAGGGCCTTCTTGAGACAGTATGAGTATTGCTTTTCTGGAGTGTTGCATTAGTTCCAAGGGGTACCTTTTAGGAAAGACACTGAAAAGCCAAAGAGCATGGAGGGGGAGCCCCAAGTCCATCAAATTCATTCAATAGGATGACTGGTTGAAGGTGGGGATGGATAGCTTGGAGGAGATGAGGTGTAGGATTCACAGCACAGAAGAGCTGTCTTCCAAGTATGGGAAAGCAACCGTGTGGAAAGGGGATTAGACATGTTTTACTTGGCTCCAGAAGGCAGAACTCGGAGCAGTGAGTAGAAGAAAGCTCTCTGGCTAACCCCTGGACCTGTCCCAAGTGTAATGGACTTCCTCGGGAAGTGGTGTGCTCTTCCTTATGG